CACTTGCATTTAAATTCTGACTCTGCCACTTATACCCTGAGGAAATATTACAACCTTAATGAGCTTCAGTTTCCTTGTTTATAAAATGGAAATATTATCTACCTTGTGATAATTAAAGGTAATATTTGTAAAGTGTGTGACACTTAGAAGGCATTCACTAAATAGTGCTTCTATTATTATTTTGATCTAAAATGGATGTGAGTCTTTTCCTCATTTATTTTAAGAAGGTATATAATTTGATTTTGGTACCAAGATTTAGATTCTAGCTTTGGGTCAAAGCAATCTATTCATCACCAGGTAAAATTAAAGCACATTCACTTTTTTTAAAAATTGGGGTAAATATAAAATTCACCATCCTAACAATTTTTAAGAGTACAGTTCACTAGTGTTAAGTACATTCACATTGTTATGTGATCTCCAGAACTCTTCATCTCGCAAAGCTGACTCTACCCATAAAACCCATTAAACAACTCCCATTCCTCCCTCCCCCAGCCTCTGGCAACCACCATTCTACCTCCGTCTGAATTTTAACTATTCTAGCTAGATACTTCATCTAAGTGGAATCATATGTTTTTGTTTTTGTTTTTTTACTTTTTTTCACTTAGCATAATGTCCTTGAGGTTCATCTATATTGTGGCATGTGTCAGAATTTCTTTTTAATTTTGAATAATTTTCCATTGTGTGGATATACCACACTTTATCCATTCATCTGTCAATGAACATTTAGGTTGCTTTTACCTCTTGGCTGTTGTGAGTAGTGCTGCTATAGACGTGTATAGTTATGTGTCTCTTGGAGATCCTGCTTTCTATTATTTGGGGCATTTACCTGGAAGTGACATTTGATAACTCTGTTTTAAAATTTTGAGGAACCACCATACTGTTTTCCATAATAACTGCATCATATTACATTCTCACCAACAGTGCACAAGGATTCCAATTTCTCCACATCCTGGCCAACACTTATTTTCTGTTTTTTTTTTGTTAGTAGCCATCCTAAATGGGTGTGAGGTGGTATCTCATTGTGGTTTTGATTTGCATTCCTCTAATGATTAGTGAGCACTTTTTCATGTGCTTGTTGGCTATTTGGGAAAATGTCAGTTCAAGTCCTTCACCCATTTTTTTAATAGGTTTTTTGTTGTTGAGTTGTTCTTTATATAGTGTAAATATTAACCCCCTATTAAAAAATTATTGCAAATATTTTCTCCCATTCTTAAGATTGCCTTTTCATTGTTGATTTCTTGAGAATAAATATAAGTACTGTTTGTGACTTTTTCTTCTATGCCCTGAAAGCAGGTGATGGTAATATATCTTATCTGGAATGTAGTAGGTGCTTAGTTATTTTTTAAACTAGTTGTGGGGTAAGGGAATTGCCTTAAAGCAATCTTGTCCAAATGCCCTCCTAGGGCAGGAATCCTTCACAGTTTTCCAACACATTCATACCCCAGCGATGGACGCTTACTACTTCGCGGGTCCATATATTTCAATACTGTTGTAAAGACTTTTTGGAAGCTCATTTCTTTAACAGCTCCTCTTGGCTTATTTAACTGATTAAAAAATGTTTTATCATGAAAGTTTTCAAATGTATACAACAAATATATACCTCTTTACTAGAGGACAATATTATGCTACCCCGTACTGACTACCCAAACCCAACAGTTAAGATTTTGCCACACTTGCTTAACTGTATCTCCCTTTTTCCTGAAGTCATTTAACCCACATTATAGCCACATTACCATTATCATACGTCACAATATTAATAGAAATTCTATCATCAAATATGCAATTTTTTAAAAACTTTTTTATTTATTTATTTTTGGCTGCATCGGGTCTTCGTTGCTGCGTGCAGGCTTTCTCTAGCTGAGGTGAGTGGGGCCTACTTGTCATTGCGGTGCACGGGCTTCTCATTGTGGTGGCTTCTCTTGTTGCAGAGCACAGGCTCTAGGCATATGGGCTTCAGTAGTTGTGGCGCACGGGCTTAGTTGCTCCGCGGCTTGTGGAATCTTCCCAGACCAGGGCTCGAACCCGTGTCCCCTGCATTGGCAGGCAGATTCTTAACCACTGCACCACCAAGGAAGCCCAAATATGCAATTTAGAATTAAATTTCCCTGGATGTCTCTGAAATATCTTTTTATCGTTTATTTGCTCAAATCAGGGTCAAGACAAGGTCCACACTTGACAGTGGGTTGCTAATTTTTAATTTTAAAAGCAATACATGCTCATTGTTAAAAAAAATTCAAATGATTTAGAAAGTAATAAAGTGAAAAGTAGAATTCCCTCTCTCCCCATCACCCACTTTCTAAACCACACTGTTAACTTTCTTGCATAACCTAGAAAATTTTAATGCACATATAAGCATGTCTCTCCATAAATGGGATAATACCATATATATGTTCTATAATTTTTTTCATAATAAAAATCAGTACATCAAGATCTATCTTCACTGGCTACAAGGTAACCTCCCATATGTATGTGGCAAAATTTAAACCCTTGCTGATAGGCACATATAGGTTGTTTTCAACCTATATGGGCCATTTTGCTACAGTAAAGGTCACTTTGCATATATCTCTGCCCGCTTGTTCAAGTATTGCTGAGGGATAAATTTCTAGAAATGGAATTGCCGGGTGAAAGTATGGGCAAGACTTTTATTTGGATACATATTCATCAAAAGTGAAAAATTCCATTTTCCCCACACCCTCACCAAATCTGATAGTGAAAAAAGTGGGTCCTGACTACCTTTCAGAGTTCCTCTGCCCAGCAGTTTTCTTTAATTTTTTTAAATTTAATTTTTATTTTATATTGGAGTATCATTGATTTCACAGAAGTTTTCAATGACTGTTCATTCAAATTAAAAAGTCCCGTTTGAAATAGTTAATGCTAGCAAAGTTGCAATCTAAAAAATTTTCAAGTACACACCAGCAGAGAACTAAAAATATCCAGAAAATTAAAGTTTCTTAAAAGCTCCCTTGCCTTTCAAATAAGGGAGGCTAACTTCTGCATTACCTCTCACTTGTGTGGGCCTGGCCTAAACAAATCCCTCAAAGGAACTTCGTTGAAAAGTTTCTCTAGGTAGAGAATAACAGCATATAGGGGGAAAAATTAAAATTTGATAGCTATCAGATTTTCTCTGGATCTGCCCTGTCTTATATAGAAGCCACTAAACATATGTGGCTATTAAGCACTTAAAATGTGGCTAATGCAACTGTATTTCTAATTTTATTTCATTTTAATTAATCATAAAAATACTAGAAAATATTTAAGATGCTTGCACAACTTGAATGTGTGACTATATTTTTCCACAGTAAATTTTATGAAATCTAAATACAAATTGTATGTCTGATAAAAATCTAGAATCTGAACTGGCATGTATTTTAAGTGTAAAATACACACCAGATTTTGGAGACTTAGTATGAAAAAAAGTCCATAATTTTTATATTGATTACATATTAAAATAGGTTTTGATATGTTAAATAAATTATTAAAATTAATTTTACTGGGGTATTTTTAGAGAAGCTATCAGAAAATTTTAACTTATGTATATGGCTCATATTATATTTCTATGAGGGAGTGGTGCTCTAGATCAGGATAACTAACTACATTTTTCTAGGGAGAAGATTTATAGCATTCCCCCAAGAATGTGAAGTCCCATGGAAGGGAAGAATCACCATACTATAGATAGAACTATAGATATCCTCTATAGCTCCTTCTGGAGGCTGCCTTCAGAACACCTTAAAAATAAAGCATTTTACCAAATCACTGTTACTGGCCCATGAAAGGGAGGTTTCCAGCAGCCATCTCTTCTGATATTCATCCACAAGCCAACAAGCTTGGAGTAGGCCTAGATGTGCTGATACTGAAAATCTTAGCTTCCCAACAGGGTTTAGTGTTCCAGAGGAAAGTTATAACCGAAGAAATGCAGCAGGAGGATTAATATCTCCATCTTCTGCCTCTCTCCCCACAATAAAAAAAAGTCTTTATTATGGGACAAAAGTCCTGAAAGGCTGTGAAACTGTTGCATGGCTAATTAAAAATTAAAAGTAACTAAAAACTTCTGACCCAAGAAGGTCATGAGAATAGCACAAAAACTTCCTTACAACTAAGGAAATTAAAAGGTTTGTTTCCTTTTGAATAATAAAGTACTCCTTGTTAATCATTTCTTGAAGTTAGTTAAGTGATGGGTATATAACTGATAAAGAAGTAGGAGAGCAGTTTTCATTTGTTTTCTCTTGATGCATCATTTCTGTGTTTCTCTCAGAAAGCTGAACATCATTACATTCTTATCTCTCTTTCACATATTACATATCAGTTCCCAGACTTACTAGACCATAGATTCATAACTGTGGAAGAGAGATCAGGAGGGAGACTGCCAATGTCAGGACAGGGCAGAATTAGGAGAGATTTTAAAAGCATATTCAAAACTATCATTGCTCTGATATAGCCATGACAGTCAGTACATTTTGAAATTTCAAAGAATATTAAAGGATGCATGTTTTGATTCTCAAAAGGGAGCACACGTTAAAACAAGTTTGAGGATCTCTGCCCTAAATCCACATTGCTTCACACTAGAGCAACAAATGTAGTACAAAATGTCAGCTCACACCTGAGCAAGTCAAAATGCTAGGAATTCTTTGCACTGGAGGAGGTAATACTGACTAACATGCCCTGCGTGATAGTCCACTGGGTTCTTTAATCAGAGTAAGCTTAGACTTTAAATTTGACATATGCAAAGTAGAAGCTTTCCTACCTACCTAAAGCATGCCTACACTTATCACCAAAAGTAGGTACACTTGAAAAGTAATCCCAGCATTTCAACTGATCTTATAAGGCAGAAAAAAGTTCTTAGGTCAGTCTCTTTACAGCCACTTTTCAACCACAAGGAAGGCAACAGCCATAACCATTTTTTTACAAAATAAGTAGAAGGCCAGATTATTAAAAATCTTCAGTCATGACTTCACCACCAGTCTCAGTAATTTCTGGGCCCATGGAAGCAGCAGAGTTGAGGATTAGGGACAAGGTGGAAATTTCCTTAACCTGTTGGCAGCAGTCACCACGTAGAAGTGTTTCTTAAGGTAAGGAGAGAAAAAAAGGAGGGAAAAAGGCGTATTTTTAGATCAATTACTTTAAGAAGAAACAATAAAAGGACTTGCTTAAGTTTAGCCACTTGGGTTTGTTTAAAATTGATAACTAAACGGGAAAAGAAGATTCTAGCACAATTATAGTAAAACAGTCACATGACTTTCAGGGGCATGTTTAGAGCAAGTTTGAAGTGAGAAAATATGTTATCCTACCCTTTTCATGTGAAAAATGGAGCACCCTAGAATGGTATTTTTCAAACTGTAACTCACAACCTACCAGTGGGTCATGAAATCAAATTGGTGGGGCATGACTAACAACTTTTTTTTAATGAAACTAATATCATAGAATAGAAAATATCAGAGTGCATCACAATGTGTGGAGCAAATGTCGCAGTATTTTTGTTTCACATGTGTGCGAGTATACGTGTACTTGTATACTGGCTCTCTGGGTAAAGCATTTTGATTTTGTTTTTTATTGAAGATCTAAGCCAATATCAAAATGTTGGAAAGTCACTTCCCTGGAGGACAATTGATTTTAAGATACATTTTATGCCCATGGTTACAAAGAGTTCTGTTGTAAACAAAATTATAAAGCTTTTAAAGCCTAATAGGGCTTTCCTAGGCCCTTTTTCTAAAATGTGGAGGAATCATTCTCAAGCTACAGACAGTTAGTTCTGAGCACTGCACTGCGATGTTCATTGAGAACACATGCTCAAACTTCATTCTGTCACTTCAAGTGTTCACATAAGTATGAATTAAAAGCTATTTTTATGCCAGTCACTTTTGGTCTGTGGCATTTTTTAATCAAGGTAACAGGTTTTTTTGTTTGTTTGTTTTTTGTTTTTTTGCAGTACGCGGGCCTCTCACTGTTGCGGCCTCTCCCGTTGCGAAGGTAACAGGTTTTTGACGTGAGACTTTTTTCTGCCTAAGTAATCTATTTAGAATCAAAACGTAAGTAAAAACTTAGTACACTTCTTTCAAAGGACATTTTAAGAAAACAAATGCTGCTTTTACTAAAAGAAAAACAGATACCTTCCATTTCCTCTGAGCCATGTATTTCTGCAGCAATAGTTGGGATTTGAGACGAACTTTCGATTTAGAAGCTTTGGGAGGCAAGTTATTCAACCACTCATGTTTCAGGCACTGTGTGGCACTCATTCTGCAGCTGTGAAATCAAACAGCAAGTGAGACTTTTAGCTGGGGTTGCATTTTTCTGGCTATCCAAAATCTGTTTAATTGGTAGGAAGCTGAGTCAGTGGAACAGATTAATCATATAGGCAGATTCATGCCACGTGCTAAAAAAAGACCTCCTACTACCGAAAATTCCCATCCTTAAAAGTGCAAGAATGTCGTCAGCAAAATGTTCCCTGCCCTCTATTGAGGGTATGTGTCCTAGTGATTAATCACCACCTCCCAGAGAGAGCTGGGGAATCAAGGCAGGACAGTAGGAGGGCCAGCTGTGCCTGGAATTGCTCTTAAGAAGTAAAAGAGCATGAGCCTTGAAAGAAGCTCATCTTTCTTCACAGAGAATAATGTCAACTTGTTCATCTGAATTAGAAATATATTTCCTCTCACATAACTTTTCACAATAAGGAAGAAACAAAACAGTGAAGGCCAGGGAACGAGAGCTGTCTCAGAGCCCAGATCTTGGGCCCCACCACTTGTAGTTATTCCCATATGTCTGAGTATCGGAAAACTCAGTGGCCCAACCCATAACCTTGATATAGCTACTGAAAACGAAGTAGGTCTTCATCACCAAGAAATAAGGTTTTCTGTCTTTTATTCTGGGGAATAACAACTGCATGTCTCAACTTTTTTTCAACATTAGCCTTTGAAAAGCAATAACTTGGAAATAGGCCTAATTTGTAAATATGGTCCTTTCTAAAACTTGTCTAGATTTTATGCTCCTAGTTGCTTGTTTCTTAACTGACTTCCTTTGTCCCTTTCCCTGCTACCTTTTCTTTTTTCCCCAAAGAAGTAGCAGACTAAGAAATACTGAACAGAATCGGTCTACAGGGAGAAAGGACCATTCGCTTCAGCAGCCCTGCCCAACACCAGCCTGATTTCCACAGTACCCAAATGGATGGTCACCATCAGGATGGATCATGGGTGACAAGCTATAAAGGGTACCTCTTCTCTTTGACCAGCAACCGGGAGACAAAGTCCTTGGCCTCCTCTGACAGCCCTTCAAAAGTGTCAGCATCAAAATCCCAACTACAGTTCACAATGAAATTCATGGTCTCTGCATCTGTTTCCCCTAGAAATGGCGACATACCACTGAGCCTACAGAGGAGAGAAAGGAATGTCAGTATGTGGAAGCTATACCTGCCAACACACATCGACAATATAGAGAAGACTCTTACAAGGTCAAGCAGAACTAACCAGAACCAAGAGAGTTCAAAAGAAAAGCACCCCCATTGCCTCTCCACAGGAGAAGTCCAGTGCGCTCAATAAAGTGGAAGCACTGAAAAATTGATGACAGGAAGAGTAGTATAAGTCCCCTATCATGCTCACCGCATTCCCCCTTACCCTGAAGTAAAGAGTAAATTGGGATCCAACCTAATATGCCCATTTATCAGGTACATTTGACTGAATATTAAGATAGCTTGGCATGTCTCTGAGACTACCCAGGCCTCAGGGACCAAAGGAAAACTGGCTTTATTAGGCTCCTCTAGAGGAGGGCAGAGAGATGAGACAACTTCACTGGCTGGCCTTGGGCCACAATCTTCCCCAACCTGGTGTAGCACACACACAAAGTGTGGGGAAACAGTTAAACTGTAATAATAAGACTGCGAGCAAAGCTTGATTTTGCTGGGCCTCTGATGAAATAGCTGAGGGATGTCCACAGTTGGAGAGAGAGGAGGACATTTAGTCTGTGCACAGATCTCCTCTCAGCCCATCCTAACTCTGCTTCCTCAGCCCACAGAAAACAGGGAGTGCAGAGCAGAAGGACAAAGTTAGAACATGCAGGAGCTGTGCCCTGCCCTGCCCTCCCCTCTCCTTACCGTTTCAATGCACTCCAGCCCCACTTGCACCATAGCACCTGCATTTCTTTGCCAGAGGGCTTTCTCTCCAGTGGAAGCTGATTTATCCACCCAGAAGTTTCAGGGAATTAATAACTCTAGGACCAGCCCACTAGCAACTACTGATTAGAGTCGGTGTATTAATACCCCAACTCCCTCCCCCACTAGCTGGCCTAGCTCTGAGTGGGTGTCCCACAGTGGGCCCCAGTTCCCTGCAGGATTAAACTCCAGGTGCCCACAGTGGTTACTGACTCCACCACACACACTTTACTGGCTGCCTTCCTTCCCCATTTCACTTCCCCACTTCTCTGTTGGTTTTTCTTAGGGATGCCTCCCCAATAAACTCCTTGCCCTCAAATTCTTGCTGCTTCTAAGGATACCCAAACTAAGACAAATGGCCCCCATTCCCAGTGGGGTGTCAGGCCCCTGGGCACTCACAGCATGTAGGTTATGACTCCCACACTCCACATGTCCGTTGGGAACGAGACAAACTCGTAATTGACGACTTCTGGGGCCAGGAACTCGGGAGTGCCAAAGTTCACCTTCAGCTTCTCCCGAGGCTTGTACCTGGGGAGGAGGGGTGCAGAGGACAATGGGAGTGAGCCCCGAGAGAAGTTGTGGATGCCTGGCTAATTCCTGGGGGGGCGCTAAACACTCCCCAACCCTTGCTGTCAGCCATGTTTTCTGGACATCGCATCCCACCACATGTGGTTTACTGGGAAATCATCACACACCCAGGCCCTAAATGCAGACTTTCCTAAGTCACCGTGGAGAATAAGAAAACCACAGTCCTCCTCCTCCTCCAGGTATTTACAATCTGAAAAAGAGGGAAGATCAATATATCTTAATCAAAAAGAGGGAAGATCAATATATCTTATGTGACTGGCCTGCAGTCACACGGATGAGCACAAACAACCTGTGTAGAAGCTGTGTGGGGAGGACTGCTCTATTGTGCATCATAGTTAAAGGGAAGACAATAGGAGTTATAGAAAGAGGCAAAATGCTCAACATCACTGATCATCAGTGAAATGCAAATCAAAACCACAATGAGACATTACCTCACACCATCAGAAAAAAATAGAAAATTGCAAGTGTTGGCTAGGATGTGAAGAAATTAGAACCTTGTCAGTAGGAATGTAAAAGGGAGCAGCTGCTATGGAAAACAGTATGGCAGTTCTTCAAAAAAATTTTTTTTTTTTTTTTCTTGCGTTATGCGGGCCTCTCACTGTTGTGGCCTCTCCCATTTGCGGAGCACAGGCTCCGGACGCGCAGGCTCAGCGGCCATGGCTCACGGGCCCAGCCGCTCCGCGGCATGTGGGATCCTCCCGAAACGGGGCACGAACCCGCGTCTCCTGCATCGGCAGGCGGACTCTCAAGCACTGCGCCACCAGGGAAGCCCCAAAAAAATTTTTTAAAGAACTACCATACGATCCAGGAATCCTACTTCTGATGCTTCATATTTCATGCTTGTTTTTTTTTTTTTTTTTTCTTGCATTATGCGGGCCTCTCACTGTTGTGGCCTCTCCCATTTGCGGAGCACAGGCTCCGGACGCGCAGGCTCAGCGGCCATGGCTCACGGGCCCAGCCGCTCCGCGGCATGTGGGATCCTCCCGAAACGGGGCACGAACCCGCGTCTCCTGCATCGGCAGGCGGACTCTCAAGCACTGCGCCACCAGGGAAGCCCCAAAAAAATTTTTTAAAGAACTACCATACGATCCAGGAATCCTACTTCTGGGTATATATCCAAAAGAATTAAAAGCAGAGTCTTGAAGAGATATTTATACACCCATGTTCATAGCAGCATTATTCAGAATAGCCAAAAGGTGGAAGCAACCCAAGTGTCCATCAGCAGATGAATGGATAAACAAAATGTGGTATATACATACAATATGATATTATTCAACCTTAAAAAGAAAGGAAATTCTGACACATGTAATATGGATGAACTTCGAAGACATTACAATAAGTGAAATAAGCCAGTCACAAAAAAGCAAATACTGTATGATTCCACTTATATGAGGTTCCCAGTGTAGTCAATTCAGAGACAGAGGGTAGGATGCTGGTTTCCAGGGTCTGAAGGCAGGAGGAAAATGAGGGGTAGTTATTTACTGGGTACAGAGTTTCAGTTTTGCAAGGTAAAAAAAGCTCTGGAGATTGGTTGCACAACAATACGAACATATCTAAAGACTACTGTAACTAATCTTGAAAATTTCTAACATGGTAAATTTTATGTTATGTGTATTTTATAAAATTACAAAAAGAAAAAGAACTAGAAAAAGTATTCTGGACATGAAGTTGAAGGAAGCCTAGGAAGAGAATTGATGGCTGTATGGGGAAGGGGTTGGAGAAAGTTGGTTTTTAGAATCAATCTTGAAAAAGAAGAAAACTTCTAGCTGAAATTTAATGGGCAGCAAAAAAGATGTCCTTCAGTTGGAGAATGGATAATATAAAGTATGGTACATCTAGAAAATGGAATACTATTCAACACTTAAAAAAATAAAAAAGAGATTCACAGAAAGATAGACAAGATGAAGAGGCAGAGGGCTATCTACCAGATGAAGGAACAAGATAAAACCCCAGAAAAACAACTCAATGAAGTGGACATAGGCAATCTTCCAGAAAAAGAATTCAGAATAATGATAGTGAAGATGATCCAGGACCTCAGAAAAAGAATGAAGGCAGAGATCGAGAAGATGCAAGATATGTTTAATAAAGATCTAGAAGAATTAAAGAACAAACAAACAGAGATGAACAATACAATAACTGAAATGAAAACTACACTAGAAGGAATCAATAGCAGAATAACTGAGGCAGAAGAACGGATAAGTGACCTGGAAGACAGAATGGTGGAATTCACTGCTGCAGAACAGAAAAAAGAAAAAAGAATGAAAACAAATTAAAATAGCCTAAGAGACCTCTGGAACAACATTAAATGCAACAACAATCGCATTATAGGGGTCCCAGAAGGAGAAGAGAGAGAGAAAGGACCCGAGAAAATATTTGAAGAGATTATAGTCAAAAACTTCCCTAGAGGACTCTTTCCAAGATGGCGGAGGAGTAAGACGCAGAGATCACCTTCCTCCCCACAGATACACCAGAAATACATCTACACGTGGAGCAACTCCTACAGAACACCTACTGAACGCTGGCAGGAGACCTCAGACCTCCCAAAAGGCAAGAAACTCCCCACGTACCTGGGTAGGGCAAGAGAAAAAAGAATAAACAGAGACAAAAGGATAAGGACGGTCGGGCCTCAGGCTGGGGCAACGTCACGCCGACTTCTGCCGCCGCAGGACCGCTCCGCACTCCGTGCCCCTCCCTGCCCCCGGCCTGAGAGCGCCAGAGCCCCCGAGTCAGCGGCTCCTTTAACGCCGTCCTGTCTGAGCAAAAAGCAGACGCCCTCCAGCGACCTACACGCAGAGGCAGGGCCAAGTCGAAAGCTGAGCCCCTGTGAGCTGTGAGAACAAAGAAGAAAAAGGGAAATCTCTCCCAGCAGCCTCAGAAACAGCGGATTAAAGCTACACAATCAATTTGATGTACCCTGCCTCTGTGGAATACATGAATAGACAGCGAATCATCCCAAATTGAGGAGGCGGACTTCTAGAGCAAGATCTATGATTTTTTCCCCTTTTCCTCTTTTTGTGAATGTGTATGTGTATGCTTCTGTGTGAGATCTTGTCTGTATAGGTTTGCTTCCACCATTTGTCCCAGCGTTCTATCCGACCATTTTTTTTTTTAATTTTTTTCTTAATAATTAATTTTAATTTAAAGAACTCTGTTATACTTTACCTTCTTTCTATCTTTCCTTCCTTCCTTCCCTTTTTGAGACAACGAATCGTCCCAAATTGAGGAGGTGGACTTGGAGAGCAAGTTTTATGATTTTTTCCACTTTACCTCTTTTTGTGAGGGTATATGTGTATGCTTCTATGTAAGATTTTGTCTCTATAACTTTGCTTCCACCATTTGTCCTAAGGTTCTATCCTTCCCTTTTTTTTTTCCTCTAAATAATTATTTTTTTAATTCAATAACTTTATTATACTTTATTTTATTTTACTGTATCTTCTTTCTTTCTGTATTTTTTCCTTCCTTCCCTCATTCCTTCCTTCCTTCCCTCCTCCCTCCCTCCCTCCTTTCTTTCCTTCTTGCCTTCTTCCTTTCTTTTCTTCTTTCTTTCTTTCTTCCTTCCCTCCTTCCTTCCTTCCCTCCTCTCTTTCTTTCTTTCTTTCTTTCTTTCCTATTTCCTCCTACTTATACTAATTCTCTCTACTTTCTCTCCCTTTTATTCTGAGCCGAGTGGATGAAAGGCTCTTGCTGCTCCAGCCAGGAGTCAGGACTCTGCCTCTGAGGTGGGAGAGCCAACTTCAGAACACTCGTCAAGAAGAGACCTCCCAGCCCCACATAATATCAAACGGCGAAAATCTCCCAGAGATCTCCATCTCAACACCAGCACCCAGCTTCGCTCAACGACCAGCAAGCTACAGTGCTGGACAACCTATGCCAACCATATAGCAAAACAGGAACACAACCCCACCCACTAGCAGAGAGGCTGCCTAAAATCATAATAAGTCCACAGACACCCCAAAACACACCACCAGACGTGGACCTGCCCACTAGAGAGACAAGATCTAGCCTCATACACCACAACACAGCCACTAGTCCCCTCCACCAGGAAGCCTACACAACGCACTGAACCAACCTTAGCCACTGGAGACAGACATCAAAAACAACGGGAGCTACGAACTTGCAGCCTGCAAAAAGGTGAACCCAATCACAGTAAGATAAGCAAAATGAGAAGACAGAAAAACACACAGCAGATGAAGGAGCAGGATAAAAACCCACCAGACCTAACAAATGAAGAGGAAATAGGCAGTCTACCTGAAAAAGAGTTCAGAATAATGATAGTAAAGATGATCCAAAATCTTGGAAATAGAATGGACAAAATGCAAGAAGCAGTTAACAAGGACCTAGAAGAAATAAAGATGAAACAGACAATGATGAACAACACAATAAATGAAATGAAAAATACTCTAGATGGGATCAATAGCAGAATAAATGAGGCAGAAGAACGGATAAGTGACCTGGAAGATAAAATAGTGGAAATAACTACTGCAGAGCAGAATAAAGAAAAAAGAATGAAAAGAACTGAGGACAGTCTCAGAGACCTCTGGGACAACATTAAACGCACCAACATTCGAATTATAGGGGTTCCAGAAGAAGAAGAGAAAAAGAAAGGGACTGAGAAAATATTTGAAGAGATTATAGTTGAAAACTTCCCTAATATGGGAAAGGAAATCGTTAATCAAGTCCAGGAAGCACAGAGAGTCCCATACAGGATAAATTCAAGGAGAAATACGCCAAGACACATATTAATCAAACTGTCAAAAACTAAATACAAAGAAAGCATATTAAAAGCAGCAAGGGAAAAACAACAAATAACACACAAGGGAATCCCCATAAGGTTAACAGCTGATCTCTCAGCAGAAACTCTACAAGCCAGAAGGGAGTGGCAGGACATACTGAAAGTGATGAAGGAGAAAAACCTGCAACCAAGATTACTCTACCCAGCA